TAAGTTAAGACTGTCACAGTATCTGCTTACATTAGTGTTAAGATAATAGGATTGCTTTTGTATAACAACAATAGATGTTGTCTTAATTTTTGACCTCATTGGGTTTAAATTTCCAGAAAAAATCTAATCAAATGATTGGATTACTTTTTGAGTAATCATATCGACTATCAAAATATGTTGATTATAAAAATGTTAATTGTGAAAATATTGAGGGGCCACAGCCAGGATGAAACAGGGTTGAAATTTGAAGTCTTCGTCATTTTAGCCAGAGATTGTTCCTTAAATTTGAAAAATGTTAATGTTCAAATTACAGCTGAAAAACTGCCCGTTTTGTATACAGATATTGTTTGTAATGAATCAGGTACTTTCCTCTTACTGTCTTAAGATAGGTGCTTGAAAGTTAACCAGATATGCACACACAGTAAAAATTTGTTCAGCTAAATGAGCCATTGAGAGTGGAATTGGTTTACACAGGATCTGAAAAGTTTTGATTCGTTGGATAGCTCTCTCAACGTGTATTCTTGCCTCTGCAATCTTCTCTGAGCGCTTTCCCTCGTGTTTTTTTAGTTGTGATCTGCCTGTTCCTTTAAAATCTGGAATAGTAACCTTCACTCCTTTTTCTTCCATTGCTTCATTGATATCAAATCCTCTGTCAGCCATTAATTCATCCCCTGCCTTTAGGGTAGCAATAAATTCTGCACTGCTTGCTGTGATGTGTTTGTCTGATGTCCTGCCTCCCCATGCTCGAGACACATAAACAATTGCTCCATGTGCATTTATTGCCACTAGAAACTTAAAGGTTGTATGACTCTTGTAATTTGAGTATACTTCTTTGCAGGCCTTTAATGAGGAGGGTTTCTGGGTAAAGATTTCAGTGCAATCCACAATAACTTTGAGGTCAGGGAATGATGAGAACTGATTTGCCTTTCCACATTCCTCATAGTCAGGCATTTGGCAGAGATCTTTTAAGTGGAAATACAGCAGATTAATCCATGCAGAAAAATTTTTGCTGACACTTGCTTCACTGATTCCAAATCTCAATGCCAGATCTGGCAGTGTAAGTCCTACTCTTAATCTAACAGCGACCATGAACAACTCCTCCTCCAATGGCAGCTTGGATGATGGCCCTGGTTTGTTTCCTAACTGACAGTCACGTAAAGCCATTTCAGATCCTCTCCAACATTTTTTTTTTGTCTACACCAACAGCATTTAAATAGTTAAATAATGCTTTGAAGGTGTCATAGTTAGGGAGACTAGTCCAAAAATGAAATTTGTCATTGTCTAGCTTAATTTGATCCAATAAAAGACATTTTGCACGTAGCTTTTGATTTTCGTGCTCAAGTTCGCTCACTTTGCTCTGCAAAGAAGTGAGCTCTTGCAAAATGTCATCGCTTAATTCTCTTGACTTGGGATCCACCTGCGACTTGCAGTAGTCATGCTCTTTCAATGGGTGTTCTATTGGTAAACAAGCTCCCCATATTTCATGATCATCAACAGATTTGAATGATTTTCTTGGGCGACCCCTACTTTCCCCCGATACCTGAGAAAATGATAAAAAGATATGTTGGAAATAGTGTTTCAAGTATAAAAACTCAAACAAAAAACACTTATCAAAGTCATCGTGAAGTACTTACACTGACTCGTTTGCGCTTTGGTTTTAGAGTTTCAATTGCAACGAAGTCATCTTTGTTTGTTTTTTGACTTGTTCTGGTCTTTCGACTTTCAATTTCCTTCTTGAACTCAAATATGGATGGATTGTAAGCCGAATGTGCAGGATCATCGGACTTTTCTCCTCCGACGAAGTGAGCTGAGCACAATCGAGTGTTGTCTGTTGGTGAAAAATCTTGTCGGCGAATTCTATTTAACCAAGCATTTCTTCGCTTAGATTCTTTCGGAATTCTGTAAAACTTGAGATTTGGGTTTCTTTTCCGATTATTTGAGCAGCTTGGAGCACAGCAAAAGTCGTTTTTTCCCATGTAAATTACGATGATATATAAGAGTTTTGCAAACAGATATGGCGTCCTTAGCTTTGTTGTCAGACTGGTTACCCCCCAAGGCGCAAGGGATTATGGGGATGTGAAAGAAGAGAATACTCGTGAGAAACGCGGCGCGGTCGTCCGATTTTACTATCACTCGTCTGATAACAGACCGAATTGGACTCCCACTCAGTAGTCCTATTGCCATCACAGATTAATAATGATAGATAGAAAAAAAAAAAAAGATAAGGCTGAAAGCGTGCAGGAAGCTCGTTACTCAAGGATGCAAATCATGACCTTGAAACTAACAAAATAATTTGAATATATCAACAAAGTTGAAATGGTAAGTTGGCCACAGTTACGATTATAAAAGCTGACGTTTCGAGCGTTAGCCCTTTGTGGGTTGTGCGTGCTTTCAAAAGGCAGTAAAAGGAGCTACGTGATTGGTGTCAAACTAACAACTCGAGGAATGCTGTGAGTCGATTTCACTTAAAAATTGCGTGATTTTCCATAAATGATGCATCAAGTTATTTTAAACATTTGAGACTTTCCACTAATCAAGTACTTTTTTCAAGTTTTACAAGCTTCCAGGTATTGCAAAATATACCGTGGATCGATGAGATAACGACCGTAGTACAGTGGAACCTCGATTTAACGAAGTGCCGAGGGACTAGGAAAATTGGTTCGTTATACCGAACGGAGGACGTCGTTAAATCGAGGTTTGTTAAATCGAGGTTCAACTATAGGTACTAAAACAGGCGTAAATGGGGTATGATTGGCTCATCACATCTCTTAAACAAGCACAGTGACCCATCTTTTTATTGCATTTTTCCATGAAACAGACATGGATAGGGAACATTAAAGGAAAGTTTCAAAAAAGTTTACCGATAATTCTTTTTTCTGAGGAATCATCTCAAGTAATAAACCCCACTTTCGATCGGTTTACCGAAGTAGTAAACAACGCGGGACGTTGGGAGAACGCGAGGAAAGTTTGTAAACCACGAGGCACAGCCGAGTGGTATTACTGTAACAGCTTGCTCTATGGTACACCTCAAGTACAAATTGATAAGCTACAAAGGGTGCAAAATGCAGCCGCAAGGCTAATCTTTAAACAACCTAAACTTAGCCATATTACACCACTGTTGTGCCAGTTTCACTGGTTACCAATTAAGTACCGTATAGAATTTAAGATTCTTTTATTATGTTTTAAGGCAATGCACGGTATGGCACCTGGCTTATATTTTTAAGCTTATTAGCTTTAAAATTCCCATTAAATATGAGCTAAGGTCGAATAAAAAACCTCTGCTCAAGGTCCCAAGTGGTAAGATGTTAGCCACATTGGGAGCGAGGGCATTCTCCTATGCTGCACCACGTCTCTCGAACGACTTACCAAGTGACATCACTGGCCTTCACTCCGTCTCTAGTTTCAAGCGTAATCTTAAAACCTGTTTACCTGGACTTTTAATCTCTCATCTCATTAGCTTGGTGCTTTTTCATATTCTATTTCATTTGGTTAGTGCTTTTGAATTTCTCATCTCATTAGGATAATTGTAACCTTATATATATATATATATATAACTAACTGCAGACAGTACTGTTTCGGCCTTCTGGGCCTCATCAGTGCAGTGCTAATGCTAGGATGGAGGAGAACCAATATGGTCACCCCAAACGATCCAACCTTTGTGGTATCGTCTAAGCCATGCCAGAGTGCTCAAACTAGAGTACACTAGCGAGCATGCGCAATTGCAGAGCAATGACTCATCCTAGTTAGAGTGCTCAATTTGGACATGAAAGCAAAGCTTTGTATGCCAAAGAGCTATATCTAACTGCAGACAGTACTGTTTCGGCCTTCTGGGCCTCATCAGTGCAGTGCTAATGCTAGGATGGAGGAGAACCAATATGGTCACCCCAAACGATCCAACCTTTGTGGTATCGTCTAAGTCATGCCAGAGTGCTCAAACTAGAGTACACTAGCGAGCATGCGCAATTGCAGAGCAATGACTCATCCTAGTTAGAGTGCTCAATTTGGACATGAAAGCAAAGCTTTGTATGCCAAAGAGCTATATCTAACTGCAGACAGTACTGTTTCGGCCTTCTGGGCCTCATCAGTGCAGTGCTAATGCTAGGATGGAGGAGAACCAATATGGTCACCCCAAACGATCCAACCTTTGTGGTATCGTCTAAGTCATGCCAGAGTGCTCAAACTAGAGTACACTAGCGAGCATGCGCAATTGCAGAGAGGAAGCAGACTTCTAACTGTTCCAGCTTTAATGTGGCTCTGTTTTTTTCATTTAAAGAGCATTTGATTATGTATTTGGAATTTGCGTTATATACATTTCAACTATTATTATTATTATTATTATTATTGTTATTATTATTAGTATCACTTTTCTAGTGTTCTTCCAACATCCCAAGTGGTATATTACGCTGGAAAACCGAAAGAAAGAGTGGTTTATTGTATTTATGACAAAGATAGATGTGACTTTATATTAAACGCAGCTGCGTAATAAGCAAGATCAATGGGTCGCTTAGAACTTTGGTGGCTGTATGACGGTGGCGGAATGAAGATTTTTCGCCTCTGAATGATGTTTTATGATATTATCAATCATAAAAGAGCTTCACAGCGCTCAATTCAGGCATCAACTAGAAGTTGGCGAAAGAAATTTCGTCTCTAATGTGGTAAGGATTTGGGGATTGTTGAGGTAGAATTTTCGAAAATGTGCATAATATGTTGACCCGGCTGTGCTAGAATTTCGCCGAAACCTCAACATATTTTGTTTAGAATAATATAACGCGTACTATCATTGTTTAAATGAGCGTGTTTTATCGGAGAACAAAACACAGCTAAAGCTTTCAAGCCATCTGCCAATTTTTTCCACCATTTCCCGCAATTCTAAATAACTTTTTGAGTTAATTGACCGACAAGTCCTCCATGACCTGTAAAACAGATGTGAAACCGATCGAGCTCTTGGCTTTAATTGATAAAGAACAAGCTGCAGGTGACAGAAAAAGTTACACTTAGGTGGAAAATAGAATTTTGGAACAAGCAAGTAGTAAACAAAACAACCAAACAAAGTTCTGTAACTATGCCAAGCGCTGCAATTGACGAAATTATAACGTGAGCAGAGACGAAAATCGTGAAGGAGAAAACGAAATGGGTTGTTCCAGTTTTAAAGGTTTTCATGCTCAATTAGATTGTCACTAAGTGTGTACAGTAGTACAAAACCGAACAGTACAGGAATGATGAAAAATATAACAAAACTTGCATAGCTGTCAATAATTTTATACAAATCAAGGAGCGGCTACGGTCATAATGTGGTCCATCACGACCAGCTCATTCTGGCGATCTCATGGTCATTGCAGTGAAGCGAGCCTCAGAAATTACATCGTCTGCCCTTCGAGTGAACCACTAAGAGTTTGCTCTGATATTCTTTCAGCTGCATTAAGTGGAAGGCCGTATCAGTCACATCAGTCCTAGTTTCACGGACAACTTCAACCCGAGCAACCAATCAGATTATTTGAATAATCTAACAAGGATCCTGATTGCCTTATTTCAGCATGTATGTGAGAGTATAAAATATGCTGACGACAATTCGTCTTTGTTTGTGTTTTGTACGTCTCTTGTTCCCCTTTCACTTCTTTCGCGCTTTAGCCGCTTCCTAACTGCTTTGTTACAGAACACAATCTAGGCTTCTTTACTTGTTTCATTTCCATACTCCATACTAACACTATGCGTTTTGTTCAAGAGATAAGGAGAAACACTCGACTACGTCTCGTGTTTGCCCCTACACTTCTTTTTCGACTGCGATTTGGGTTTGCTTTACTTTCGAGAATTTTCCCAATCCCCCCTCCCTCTCATTCTCTTGTTTTCAGATGCGACCATGTAAACACGGAAAAAAAAAATTCTCTCTTACTTAATTGTCTAGCGTTCGTATATTGGGTCATGGATTCACACGAAGAGTTGCCTGAGGAGACACCGAGAGCAACTCTGCCCCTTACCGAGACCAAAGCTTTATTCCAAGAAATGATAAATGTGTTGGTTAGAAGCGAAAAACGTACGAATATTTTTCATGTTAGACAATCGCATAATTAATTCAGCATGCTTGAATCGTTGATTACTAGAATTCAAGGTCAGAAATTTGCGTTGTTTTGTGCTGAAAATTCTGAAATTGCACGATTTTAGAAAAAAATTTCTACTGAACAATACTTATAAGATTTATCAATACTTATAGGAACTATTTACCATTCCAAAGAAGAATCCCAACCTAACAAAGCCTCGCTTCAAGTCAGCCATAATTCGTTTCGCGTTCGGAAATAAAGTATCGGGAACTCCAAAGCTAATTTTGTCGCTTGAAAAAGCTACAAGCTCACTGTTTTTCGAATCGAATATTTTCCACAATTCACTTACCAAGTTGTTTGGACAGCTTGTTTTCGGAAAGTTTGTTATCGGACAATTCTAGCCAACTCATTTAAAGTTCTAGTTTAAAGTAACCAATCACATTCAAAGTTGCATTTTAAATCAAAATAAACAATTTACGCTTTTATTGTCAGTCTTCTGATGCAAATTGTCCCTTTCTTTGATAACTTGGCTATGCTTTTTTTCTCGGAAAATTGCAATTTTTATAATTAATTAGTAATAAGACTGTGTCGTTCAACTGCTTCGGTTTGTGATCACACTCGTCATAACTTATCGGACCCCCACTACACGGTAGTTTGGAAAAAAAGAAATACAGAAATTCGGAGCCGGAATACTCGGAATACCTGGGATTCCCAGAATTCCCGGAATAACTGAAAAATAACAAATCAAAAAAATTAAATAAAAGTAAATAAATAAATAAATAAATAAATAAGAACAATGATGATTGAAAATTAATGGTAAATTAACAGCTTAATTAAATAATTTAATGAAAAATTTTCTCTGAGAGTCCCGAAAAAAAAACTTTGTATGGGCTACTGGCCTGACGTAGACTTTTTTTTAATTCTAATGCATGCATCTCCATGAAAAGTGCCGGTAAGTTTTTTTTTTTCGGGACCCTCAGAGACTATTTTCGTATTAAATTATTTAATTAGGT